TCTCTCTCTCTCTCTCTCTCTCTCTCTCTCTCTTTCTCTCTCTCTCTCTCTCCCTCTCTCTCTCTCTCTCTTTCTCTTTCTCTTTCTCCCTCCTCTTTCTCTCTCTCTGTCGCTCTCTCTCTCTCTCTCTCTCTCTCTCTCTCTCTCTCTCTCTCTCTCTCTCTCTCTCTCTCTCTCTCTCTCTCTCTCTCTCGCGATCGGAGAAAGATATTTATAGCAACCAAGGGGAGGTGCGCCCATGAACTGGGGTCGGCGGACGGTTTCGCTGGCCGGTGGACAGTCTCGGAGGCCGCCGGCAGCGGCCGGGCCTGGCCCACTAATGGTCCGGTCCGCTGGTCCTTGCGAAGTCAACAAAGGGCAGAGACGGGGTCGGACTGACTCCGACTTGAAGTGAGTGGCGGTCGGCCCGGATCGGGCAGTTACCAGCATTTTCATTGCGCGAACTCCACCGAACGCTCCAAAACCTTATGGTGAAAAGTGGATGACGTCACGCGAGAAGGTGTTTTCCAGATGAGAGAGGATCATGCTTAGCAACTGAGTTAAATTGAAAGGCTAGTTTAAAATTAGTTATTCAGTATTAATATGTACAACGATACGTGTTCGATGGTGAATATTAAATGAAAATTAAAATTTTAATTATTAACCAATTTGCACCTATGCATTTTAAATCTTCATTATATTTCGTACTCGTGGTCAAATGCTAGCTTGATTTCAGTCTGTGAGCCGTAAGGATAATGGGACCCCACATTTTCCCAATGAGACTAGAATACCCGACTTTGACTCAGACAGCGAGGCCGTAAGTCTATGCATGTCGCTCCCCTGTGAGTGATATGCCTGCCAACGCGACTCTCGCACTTACTTTAGGTATTGGGAACAGGGCATGGGTTGCAGTTGCCTACTGATAATTTTTTATGGGAATGAAACATTGTTAACTAAAATATTTGCCTTATTTTGTTGGGTTACCTTATTTGAAGTCGGTCGTGCTAATTGTGGGTTTCTGATTGAATGACGGGCTGGTGAGATAATTGCCCTTATTATCAGTTTGTTCCTTGAAGGCGTACACGGTTCTAGCGAATGCCCAAGCGCGGGTTAAGGAAGGGATGAGAAGGGGATGAAAGAGGAGGAAAAATATGCAATAGAAAAATAGATTTCCTAAATGATGATCAATAGGGATCGACCCCACTAAATGTTAGGCCTCGATTGAGTTAGCCCTGGGTGGTGATAAGGTCACGCGAGCCGTCGCTTGGAATGTGTATCGGCGAGTTGGTCGCCGCGAGATGATGGTGTTTCGTCTCGGATTGACAGCCTCGGAGGCTGGGCAGATTTTAGGCCGCCGGGTTGGCCCGGAACCCCTGAGCTATGGCTGGAGCGAGATGCGGTCATTAGTATCACGGACGGACCTTAGTTACCCAGCCCGGTTTCAAAACGTTAGGTAGGTCCGCTATCGGTCCCTCAAGTGAGCGGCGCAGGACGTCATTTGAAGAGCGACGTAGATAGTTTCGGAGGTGGTTAGGACCCCAGACGTTCTAGCGAGGGATCGTATGCCGCCGGATGAGTAATGCCCCGCGAAGAAACGTGTAATGCCGCAGGACGGGGGTAAACATTAGATACCGAGTATTCGAGTCGGGTGATCGCAGTCAGACGGTGTTGGCCACCCGCAGTCAGTCGAGTAGCTCCGGCCATGCTCTGGTCCTTTCGAATAGGTCTGTGACGACAGTTTAACTACCAGCCACGGATAGATAGGGCTCTGGGCACCTATGTGCTGGTAGTCGATGATGGATGCCGAGTGCAGGATGTCCCCGAGTGGACCTGCGTGCGTGGAAGACGAGTGTCGTCGTGATAGATAGCCGACGTAGGCTAACCCGTTTAGATCGCCGGTTTGGCCCGGAAACCCTGAACTATGGCTGGTGCGAGATGCGGTCATTAGTATCACGGACGGACCTTAGTAACCCAACCCGGTTTCAAAATTTAATGAGTCCCCCGTGGAAAGCCGGACTAAGGAGTCTCCTGCGAGCCCTGGTCTCGGGGCTGCGGGCCGGAGACGTTTTCCCTTTCTTTGTGTAGGCATTGGGCATGGTCAACTCAACTCGAGTGCCGAAGCATGAGGTGGTTCGTAATATTCTATTCGTGTGTTACGAGTATAACGAAGCGTTCGGCTGATTTACGGAGCATAGTAAAGGAACAAACCTTACGAAATTAAAACAATGACCCATTTTGAAATCCATTGTATGCACTGATACGTAAACGGAAGTTCCTGTCTTCAAACTGTTTTTTTTGGGGGGGATAATTACGCGTATAGTGATTAGTCTGAACCTGGGTACCACTGGGGGATTGTAGGAAAACGGGGGAGGGACAGGTTTGCCACCTGAAATATTTTTACGATGCATGGAAGAATGAATGAGTGGCCGTGTGAATGAAGAACTAATGGTGAGAGCGTGAATGAGTTATATCCAGTGGGAGGAGGCACCCTCAACTCAGGGGATAACTTAAGAACAATAGACGCACAATTGTGAGATTTCGCTGGAACATTGATTGACAGACATTTTTGAGATTTCGTTAGAATATAACAGAAGGGAGCGTAGGCAGAGAGAAACATCAGGCAACCTTTTAATATCCCATTGTGAATACCCACCAACCCTGTGACCCATTGCCGCTGTACTGTGTGTAGCAGTCTATGTGCCCGCCAGTGAATGACCAGCCTCGCACAAACACTGATCAGTAGCCCAACATCCCGCTACATTAGGTTCTTTCAAAAGGAAACCGATTTTGACATGCCTCCTTCCATACCTATAATTTTCTTTCATGGCAGAGAATTTGTGATACAATCGTTTCACGATCCATAAGTTCCATGAAAAGATTGGAGTGAGGAAACCACCTCCCAGGAAATAGTATTACTTGCAGGCATTTTACCAATTACCTTAACCCTCGCACGACCAGGCCATTTCTCATAACACGAACGACCAGGGGGGGGGGGGTGTTACGACCCCCCCCCCCTGGCGTTTCGAAACGGAAGGTCGTAGAGCTTAGCGGAAAACCAACGGATTGCTCTCAACGAGATCTCGCGATTGGTGGTATATTTTTTGGTCCTAGGTCAACATTTGACCTACTTATGACCGGTCAAAGGTCAAATTTTCCGAAAAAATCAAACTTTTTCAACTTTCCGCGGCGATTGCGGCAAAACGGTGGAAGATATCGACTTGAAACCTTCACTATCGTGTTCCTTGATCAATTCTCTATCGTTTGGTATGTATTTCGTTTCCCTAGCTCTAAAAATGGCGCGTTGGGAGCGCCGGAAGTCGGCAAGGTCACAGTCGGCGGCAGAAATTCGAAAAATCAAAATTTAAATTTTTGAAATCTGATTGTATTTTTGGATTTGGGAGGTCCATTTGCTCCCTATAGAAGCTAATATTGCTGCATATTCCCATTGAGGTGACAAGAATTAGCAAAATAGTGGTTCGGGCGCTTTTCAAAAATAGTACCGGACGCTGTTCCTCTTGTGACGTCATAGCTCCGTGACCTGACCTGACCCGGTCAATTTTCTTGCACCACACGATAGCCAATGCTTGCCCCAACATGCATGGGAAGTTTCATCATGATCCATCAAACAATGTGGGTATCACCGGCAGAAAACCTAGGGATTCGGCGCACACGTTTGGTAACTGTCGGCCGGAGGCTGTACATACCTCTTATGACGCCATAACTCCGTGACCTGACATGACCCGATCATTTTTTTTTCGGCAAAAGATGCGCAAAGGTTGCCCCAGAGGGTATTGAAAATTTCAGCCCGCTACGACAAGCCGTTTAGCGTGCACTTCGAAAAAACCTCAGGGGGGGGGGTCAGGCGCGGATACAAGGGGGGGGCCATGGGGGCCATGGCCCCCCCTTGGCCGATTTTTTACAAAAATAAAATAAAAAGTTAAAAAGTTAAAAAGCTGAAAAGGGGGCCTCCTGAAAATAAAGTGGCCGAAATCCGATGAGTTTTTTTTTAACCTACCCACTTAGTTATTTCTTAGAAGACTAGCTGAGAAGACTTCTTTGTTAGAAGATTGGTAAAGCTTTTCATAACTTGGAGGTCTCTTATACTCACAGAGATGACCACTTTTACAGGGCCTCCTAACCTGCACAGAGGGCCTCCAAGCCTGCACAGATGTTGAGGTGTTGGCTGTTGCCTGAACAGCTAGATAAGCTCAATAGACGCAGTTTTTTTTTGGGGGGGGGGCCAACAAGTGGGAAGATGGGGCCTCCAACAGGTGGGATTATGGGGGGGGGCCTCCTGGTTTCTAATGGCCCCTCCCTTGGAGATTTTCTGGATCCGCCCCTGGGGGGGGGGGGTTGATACAACCCCCCCCCCCCCCAGGGCGTTCTAGGGTTAAAGTTAGCTTGCAACGAACATAAAAAGTTTATCGTAATCTAGCCTACATCTGTTTCGTATTGACCTTTCAAGACCATTCGTGATTGAAACTTCACTAATTACTCAATGCGCCCATTTCATATATTTATAGATGTTGGTGCGTACGTAGGTCTAGGTACAAGTTATATGGCCTTGCATAGGTACTGTATGCCTAGGTCTTTCATTCATTTTACCTGCTCCTTTGATAAATTCGACAAATAGCGTTATAGTACAAATAATTTAAATTACAGGTCAACTAGGTTACCAACACAACTAGAAGATTAAGCTTGTTGGGTGTATGGCTGGTTAGGTTCTTCCGTTACCACTAATTTAAATGGTCTGAAATTAATTGTAACTTGAGAGCGAGGCTGCTCGTCACGAGGCTTTGGGCGTCATTTATGGCATGGAAATCGGCTTCACACTTCCTTCGCCGGTTCGTGGCGATTTGAAGGCGAAAGGAACCGTAATCTTTTACGGAAACTAGACCAGTGTATGATTGGAAGTAATCGTGTGGTCAGGTGTAGGTCGCTCGAGTGTGGCTGATGCTCATTTCTGCCTCCTCCTTTCTGCCCACGCCACGGTCCGGCACGTCCATACGGTAAAGTCGCAATACATTTCAAAGCAATGTATAAATGCACACACGATCAACAAAAACAATGTTAGCCGTACAATGAGGCGCTGCGGCCGGCGCCCACGCGGCCGGCCCAGGGACAGTGGCCGGCCTCAGCCGTGAATCGCAGGCCGGGCGGCACGGCGCAGCGGCCCCGGGTTATTGCGCAGGGAAGCGGAGCAGTGGTCCCCGACAGTGCACCCTCGGTGACCGCCAAACGGTCATCAGACTCCAGCTGATCCGACGCGTCTGTCACAAGCTCGGTCAAAGTCCGAGACAGCGGCTCAGGCGACCGTCTTCAGTTCCACACAGAGGCAGGCCGTCCTGAACAGGTATCGTCCTCGCGACAATGCGGACACGGTGTCCTCCACAGCGCAGTGCCAGCAGAAGGCCGGGCCGCCGCGAACGCTGGGCAGTGGTCAGTCTGGCCTACATAGCGGGCGGCACCGGCAGTCCTCAGCAGTCAGTACACACCGACACCGGCAGTCCTCAGCACCGGCCCACAACAATGGAATGATAACAACAACACGCCCTCACGCGCCGAGTCCACCGATGACTAGCACCGCTCTCTTTGTTCCCGTAGGCACAGTTGGCGCGCGCGCGACAGCAGGTACACAGAAAAACCCATCACAGCGCGGCCAGCACACTTGTTGCCTATCACATGTGCGGAGCGACGGTCGCCGCCGCGGGCGGGGGCGGGGGCGGCGACGGGCCGCGCCGCCTCGTCAGCACGGCGCCGCCGGGTACAGGATCTGACAGCCCTGCTGGGAGTGCTCGTGCACCTCCTGCTTCAGCGCGTGCACCTGCTCGCGCAGCCGACTCACCACCTCGGCCAGCTCGGCGTTGTCGTTGCGGATCGCCTGCACGCGCTCCTCGAGCCGGGCGATCCGCTCCAGTTTGCGCTGGCGACACTTGGTGGCCGCGATCCGGTTCCGGAGCCGTTTGCGCTCGAGTTTGATCTGCTCCTGGTGCGCCATGTCGACGGGGCTGGAGGGCGGCGGGCTGTCGGAGGCGGCCGACGGCACGCGCTGCGGCTCCTCCTTGACCCGCACGTCGGCCGGCCGGCCGGGCGCCGCCGACGACTCGAGGGTGGTGTACACGGGCGCGCCGCCGCCGGCCGCCCGCTCCTGCTGCTTCAGGTTCTGGAGCGCGTCGGCGAAACCTCGGGCGTAGTCCTCCTGCTCCTCGGTGGCCGTCCGGCCGAACACGGCGCTGACCGCCTGCGGGCCGCCCGGCGTCTGCAGGCTGCCCTGCTGCGCGATCAGACGCTCCAGCTCCGGCGAGCCCAGCTTCAGCATGCGCAGGTCGGGCGAGGTCAGCAGCTGGCTGGCGCGCGGCCGCTTGGCCGGCTCCAGGTCGAGCGTCATGCGCCGCTTCAGCTGCTGCACGTGCTCCATGTAGGCGCGGGGCGAGTCGGCGTACTCCTGGTCGCCGTACAGCGAGACTTCCATCGCCTGGCGGCCGGCCAGGCTGGCGCAGAGCGGGCGGCGCGCGGCCACGCCCCGACTCTCCGGCTGACGGGCGCTGGCAGCCAGTCACCGAGCTGCGGCTTGCCTCGACCACTGAGCCGCACAGACGCGCCTCGCACGAAGTCCACAGCTGTCGCGCACACTCCCCGCTCTACAGCCGCACCGTCGCTGTGTACCGCCGCTCCGAGCTCCAGCCTGTGACTCACCGCCGCGTCTGCGCCGTGCCGCTATAAAGGATGTGGCAACCGACTGAAAATAGACGGATTCGTCATCGGGGCGGCCTCTCATTGGCTGGCGGCGCGCCCGGCAATGACGTCAGCAAGCCGGGCACGGGCGCGGCGATGACGTCACGTCACCCGGTAGAGGTGCCCGTCAGTGTGGCGCCGACGGAGAGGTCGGGCGGAGTCCCGCTGCGGATCGGAAGGACGGTAGTTTCAGTTTGTTCCTCAGCTTCTGTTAGGGGACGCGAGATGGCGATGGAGAAGCTATCTCACATGTCCCATCCCATGTCCGGCGGCGTCCGGGGGACTCTGGGGCACCTTTGTGACGCCATTTGCACCTCCAGTGACTCGCCTGCGCCTCAGTTCCTGGTGCGGAACTGGGGCCAGGGGCCGCCAGCGAGCCGCCGAACTGTCGGTGACGTCACAGCGATACGGGCAGGGGCGCCGCGGCACGCGCCCACCGCGGCTCCGCTCGCCGCTCGGTGGGGTGTGGGGACGCCGCGGGGTGTCCACTGTCCACACTTATTGAGGGTATCAGCTTCTACAAAGCCTAACCGCCCCTTCATAGAACAAACACCGACCGGACCTTGTCCAGCCGTAAGACTTAGATCTCCTCCTACGTAGCTATAGAACCAGTATAACGCCTTTTGGGGCGACTAACGGAGCGAGCGAGAGGGTGAGCCTTGCACGTGCGACATTTCGAGGGGGTACCTCCAGCTGACTTATGCACGGCACCCTATTAACCGGTCTCTAGCGATGTGCCAAATTTGAGCACAATCGGCCCAGCCGTTCTCGAGATCTGGAAGCGGCACCCTGCACGTGCGCACGTGCAAAATGGGTCCCAACTGACTTTTGCACGGCACCCTACTAACCGGTCCCTACCCATGTGCCAAATTTGAGCGCCATCGGTCCAGCCGTTCTCGAGATCTGGAATCGACCCCTGCACGTGCGCACGTGCAGCAGCACCCCAACTCTGGCACATGGATATGCAGTGCCTAGTGGGTGCCTACCTACATGCCAACTTTCAGCGCAATCGGCCAAGTAGTTATCGAGATATTGCAACAATTACAAAACTGACACCTCTTCGTTTTGCACGTGGCACGTGCATAAGGGGTCACCTACATGCATCGGGAATAGTCCAATACTTGGTAGAAGGAATGAAGCTACCCTACAAAAATTACCGCGTGTAAATCGGTCAAGTGGTTGCTGAGATATAAGCTTCGCAAAAGCGTGACCACGGCCGGCCGGCCGGCCGGCCGGCCGCTCATACTCAGAAATTTCCGTTAATCTAAGGAAAGACTACGCTCGCTTCGCTCGCTCCGTAATTATTCTTTTAGCTATAGATAGCTATAGATTTCCAGCAGCCATTGATCTTCCCGTTCACGTTAATTGATCCCCACGTTCAAAAAGTTCATGAATTGGCATGAAAGTTATCCCGCGCATGACTGGGGTATTTTCCATAACTCGAATGGTTTACGCACTCCTTGATAGATGCCTTAGATACCTGAGGGAATCGAACTTTTACTTCGAATTTTTAAGGTCAAAGCCAAGTCATCCTAGGTCACGAAAATTGTACATCATATATCGGTCACGTGACGAACGTTTTATGGTCCATTTTACTAGTAAATTTTGAAAATAGTGTCGTCTGTGTCATTGGACTTTGGAGGTCATTGTCAGCTGAATTTACCGGAGGTCCAGTCACTTTCAGGCACGGAATATATAGTCTACGACTGTCGTAGACTATATATTCCGTGCTTTCAGGTCAGAAAAGGTCAAATTTTAAAAATGAAATTTGTCAACACAAAAGGTGCCTATCAGATGCAACTTGAGCTCAGAAACATGATGGTGCCATTTATGTTGCTGTATCGACGTCAAAAACGTACTGAAAAAATGGATTTAAAAAATATATAATTGTAAAATTTTGGCAATAATGCGAATAGCTTGGCTATTTTTGAGGATATTGGACTAAAACCTGCTAGTGTAGTTAATCTGTGTGTGCTCTATTACATATTATTCCGGTTTTTGCAAAGAATTGAAAAAAATCAACAAATATATTTTTTGTTATTGTAAATACATATTTTTTTTTTTAATTTTCAAAATTTCGAAAATTCGAGATATCAGTTTGATTGCTACGTATATTTGTAGTCCACTAATGCAATGAAAATAAATATAGCGCTAAAACTGAGCTCTTCAGAGCGTTTGCCGTAAATCAATATTTTGCAACAACATCGGACGACATGATGTCACTCTAACGTCATTTCCGGCCAAACTATGGTGACTAAAAAGTTGAAATTGTAACACAAGGTGTCAAATTGATGTTGCTGAGGGTACCGCAAGTTTCGTCTTGATCCGTCAAACGTATTAGAAGATATTGCTGAAAAACGGGAGGAGGGGGCTCTGTAGAGCACCCCAGTCATGCGCGGGTTAAGGGGGCCCGCTCAGCAGAATGCGTATGAAATATGGAGAGATTCTGAAAAATGGGTGGGGGCGCGCACACCGCTTTGGTGGCGATGACCCTCCGAAACAAAATCCTGGCTGCGCCACTGGGCTTATTCAACGTGGTCTCTAACGGCTAAGGCCGCGTTCGATGTCTCCTCGGACGAAGAACATTCTACGCAGAATATTCTATTTTGCGTTCGAAGAAGCACACAGTCGGACGACGAGACCGGCCATTTTGTGCGCCACTTACACAATGTGCGTCAGTTTCGAAAAAGGCCCAAGTTTACGTTTCCATAGAGACCGCGCACAAATGTCAACAACTTCTGTAAACAGCTGCTGCGCCGCTTTTGAAATACGCGCCATCATTGCCTCTCTGCCCACCGTAGTACGCTCAAAAGATTCTGCGCGGACGGCAAAGATTCTACGTGACGTCACGTAGAATCTTTGCCGTCCGTGCGACATCGAACGGCATTTTGGGCCCGGTCGGCATAGAATCTTCGCCGTCCGGGAGACATCGAACGCGGGGTAAATATGAGTTTGAATATTTGACGTCATCAAGTTTGATCAGTTTTTCTACCATAGCTTTGCAAAAAGAGATATCGAGCTGAAATTCGGCATATCGATAGCAGACTAATATGTCTATAACATGTTTTCCGTTTTTTCTTTTACCTGTATTTTTAACCCGCGCCGGGCCGGAGGGGGTGTGTGAACACTCCCTCTGCGGTTTTTCGCAGATATATCAAAAACGGCGGCGCTCCGCGCCGCCGTTTTTGGTACACCTGTTCGTGCATCTTTTCCGCACATGTCGTAAAAATTTCAGACCCAGGTCGCCTTAGGTCAGGTCACCAGGTTACGCCAAGTGACCTCACCTCAGAAAAAATAAGAATGCTTGTCATAGCTACACCGATTGATCGATTGCCATGAAACTTTCAGCGATTGATTAGAGCAACATTATCTATAAAATTTATATCCCGGAATTTTGATATCGGTGACAATGGTGTTGTGGTATCGGCCGCCCCGGTTGACCTTGACCGCCCCTGACCCAGCGGGCCGGGCGGCGGGCGGCGCGAGCGGGCAGTGTGGAGCGAGACGAGCTCGAGTGCGGGTGCGGTGCGCGCTAATAAAGTACAGTGATTGTGAGACGCGTGTGTGACGGCCGAGGCGCGGAACAGAACATGGCGCGGTCGGTAGTGTTATCGCCGTTGTGATTCCGAGACGACCTGACCTTCCCATCGCTGTGCCAGACCGCTCTGCTCTGCCATGGGGGACCACGAGCAACTGGAGAGGCTGACGGCGCTGATGGTCCAACAGTCCGAGCAGGCCGCGCAGCGGGAGGAGCGCCTGGCTGCCATGCTGGAGCGGGCCCTCGCCAGCCAGACGCAGCCGCCGGCTGCGCGGAGCGCGGCAGCCGTCATCGAGGGTGGACAGCCCGCTACCATCGCCGCCGCGACCACCACCGCTCCGCTGGCGAAGCTCCCATCCGGCGCCATCACGGCGCCCCACCTGACCTCTTCCGCGTCTCTCAAGGAGTTCGGCGCCTGGCGCCAGAAGTTCGCCGACTTCCAGTTGCTCACCCGCCTGGGCACGCTCTCCATCGACGAGCAGAAAGCGACGCTGACATCACTGCTCGACGACGAGTGGACGCGCACGCTTCGGTACAGCCTCCAGGTACCCCAGGACGCCAACTTGGAGACTGTCCTAGACATCATGGAGGCCCATCTGCGTGGACAGCGGAGCATCATCCTGGATCGTAGAGACTTCTACTCGCGGATTCAAGAGCCGGATGAAATGTTCGATGATTTCCTGTCGTCTATTAAAGAAATCGCCGCGTACTGTGATTTTTGCGATGTTTGCGTTGACGATCAGTATCGTGACAGAGTCGTGGTGGGTACACGCGACGAGGAAGCGCTGAAGCGTATGCTGCACGAGCCCAAGCTGACTCTGCAGAAGGCCATAGACATTTGCCGTGCTTGTGAATCGGCGAACACAAACAGCGCGGCGATACTCGGCGAGCCGGCCAGCGTGACACGTGTGTTGGCGTATCGTCGGTCTCAAGCCTCTCTCCGCTCGGACAGCTCGCGCCGGGGCGATCTCTGTCGGCGCTGCGGCCGGCCACGTCATGCCGACGGAGTACGCTGCCCCGCCACGGACGCATCGTGTCACACGTGTGGCGGCACCGGCCATTTTTCCGCGGCGTGCGCCACCCAACCGGCTGACCGCGGGACCCGTGGCGGCAGCGGCCGCGGCTGGCAGGGCGCCAGGTCACGTGACGGCGCGGCCGGTGACCAGCCGTCCGGCCGCGGCCGGCCAAGGTCACACCGCGGGCGGGACGCGTGCCCCGGTCCCGGCCTTGGCGCCGCGCCAGCACACGTGAGCGCGGCCGGTGACCGTTCTGGAGTTCGACAGCTCATCGGAGACATCCACGTGGACCAGCTAGCTACGCGCCGGACGCCGCGGGTCGAACTGATGCTCACTCACCCGTCCGGCTCTGCCGCTGTTTCATGCGTGCCCGACACCGGCGCTGAGGCGACGGTAATGGGCGCTGAAATGGCCGCGTCACTCAGCATCCCGCTGCAGACGACACCCTCCTCGGGCTCTGCAGTCAAGTTTTCGTCTGCTGGAAACACGCCCCTGACCTGTATCGGCCAGTTTGGTGCCACGGTGACCCTG